ACGGCCAGGAAAGTCAAACGATATCTCCAGCGTCCAGCCGTGGAACTTTACGATCTCGACGCCGATCCCACCGAGCAGCACAACCTGGCCAACGATCCTCAGCATGCCGAGTTGTTGGCTCAACTTGGCAGCAAGTTGGATGCCTGGATGCAGGAGCAAGGCGATCAACAAACTGTCTTCGGTACACCGAAACTGCTTGAAGAGTAAGCCCTGCTATCCTCAGCGACTATGCCAGAGCCGACTGGATCCTCTGGACAAGCTGATTGTCGGCTCGTTTTGAATCCCGCAGCAGAAATATGTTGGATGCCAAGTAGGTGTCGCGCCATTGCGGCGATACATGGTAGTAATCCTCCAAAATCGCCGAACTAAACTTGTAGTCATGGGCGTTGGTTCCCTTACGGAAAACGAGCACTCTGGCTGCATCGATAAGCTGCTTTGCTTTGGCGGAGTGGTTCTCTGGATCTCGCAGGTAGCCAAGCGTCATTTGGGCTGCCTGCATCGGATCGGTTCCAAGCGTGGCAAAGATCTCTTCTACCGATTCCTCGGTATCACCGGTCGGTTTGTGTGGATCGAGCTTGCCTACGTTCACTTCGCTGACACCTCCACGGCCGCGCATACCACTTCGAAACATTGGCAGAAACGCAGCATTCTGCAGCATCAACATGCGGCGAGTTTCATCGTCCCCGCATGTCTCATAAGCATAACGGAGAGCGTTCGTCGTGGTCACGCTGTGCAAAGGAACAATCGCTGGTTGCTGCATCACCATTTCTCCAGCAACGACGTGAAGTGCATCCCAAATCACTTGTGGATGTATACCTTGGTTGATCAACTGCACGACTTGATCACAGGCATCGTCATTCGAACCGGAGCGTAATGTTTCGATTAGCGTCTCCGTCGCCGCCGAATCGATTTTGCCAGACGTCCAGTCATCACGAAACTTGCCGGCGAGTTCTTCGTTGCGGCGAAATGGACGATCTGCTTCGTCATCACGTTTGGCAGGATTGCTCCCTTCATGCATAAGCAACGCATACGTCAAGCTTCGCAGAACCGGCTCGGCATGCTGCCACCCAATACACCCCAGCGTACGGTAACTGTTGGCAACATAGATCGCTTTGTT